TCTTTGCTCCTTGTAGGTCTTTCTGTGGCTGCACTGGTTTTACTGCATGGGTTTGAAGAGGCCCATGGGCAGTGGTGGCTTGGCTCTGTGGGCTGGAGCTGGCCCGGTGGTGACTGGGCTACAAACGCTGTATTCCCACCCTGCGAGCAGGTGAATTCAACAGCAAATGTCAAGGCCATTGCTTGTGGTGTGTGATGGCTTGTCAGCAGCTCTTTTGTGCAGAGGGGAGCTGGGTATCCTTCTCAGATGCCACTTTTTCAGCAGTAATTTTCTTTCAAAGCTTCTGCTTGTTTTAGCAAGCAGGGCAGGCAATTGTGGAGTTAATTGTTAAGTTGTTAATGAGACTGCAGGGAAGCAGAGGGGATTATGTGAGTGGAGCAGGACATCCCTTCCCTGGGCAGCCAGGGGTGCTGCCCCTTTCCCCTTTTGACTTGTAAGCGTCAAGCTGCTCAGGACAGCCTGGCAGCTGAAATCCTCCTGTCTTTGCAGGATTATGAGTGCCAAATAGTGTGAGTTTTGTGGTGTCTCTTGGATCTGTGACCAAGTCCGGGCCAAGCATCATCTCTGCAGCCACAGTTCCCTTGGCGGGCTGACCATCACTGACAGGACGTGACTTTATGTGCTCTGAGCAGGAGAGCAGTGGCAGCACAGGGCCAGCACTGCCCTCTCTGTGTAGGTGACCTAGGAGAGGGCCTTCCAAAAGGCCAGGTTGTAGATGGTCATCTTGGGGTGCTCTGCCTTGTGCCCATGGGGACCTCCTGCCCAGGCAGTTACCTGGCGCTGCTTTCCTCTGGTCAAAACCCCCCTGCTATGTGAACTGATGGTTCTCTGCTGTCCCAGCCAGGGCATAACATGCATTTTCCCAAAATAAAACAGAAAAGCGTTTAAGGAGCAGAAACCCAAATTTTCCATTTACCAGAGATCAGCAGCAGGGTACAGATTTTCCTGCCTCCTGGGTCTGCTCCCAAAGGACACCATACCCTGGCGAACTTCTCTCATGGGTGGGAACCTGTTTGATTACCAGCTTGTGCTTGTTCATACCCAGTTTTTCCCTGTTCTCCTTGTGCCAGCTTTGTTCATCAGCTTCACTCGCCTCTCCTGGCCCCATGGGGTGCAGACGGGCAGGGCCTGGGTGCCCTCTCTGCTGTAGCCCTTTGAGCCTGGCTGAGCCCTGCCTTCTGTGGTGGAGTGTGCACCCAGGAGCTGTGTGTGGGTCCTGTTGTGAGATGAGCTGTCTGCTGTTTTGGCTCCCTCTGGCCTTTCTCTGCACCTATTTTCATCTCTATGAAACTTTATTGAACACAGGTGATCTGGACAAGCTGTGTCAGGGCACTCTGCTGAAGCTGGTTCCCTTAGTTCGTGTTAGGGATGCTTCAAAAGAGGCACACAGGGAATAATGTTTCTCTGACCCTCTGCTCTTGCAGCAAGGTGGAAGTAGGGATCCACCCAGGGTTACTGCTCTGTGCATCTGGGAAAATGAGACTGCTGCTTTCCAATAGCAGCTTCTCTTTCTGATCCTGGCCCTAGAGAAGCACTGAAATCGCTACAAAGCCAGTGAGGGCTTCCCCTGGCATGAGCAGGCTGGGATCCCTTTGGGTCAGAGCATTCAGGGAGAAATGTCGTCTGTTCCTCACAGGAAGATGAGCAGCTTTCCCACTGATACTCTCAAATCCTTTCTACTGGGGTCAACTTGTGGTACTTCTGAAAAAGGCAAAACTGCCCCTTTTCTCCCTGCTCTCCTCTCTTTGGTGCTGGTGTAGCCTGCGACACAGGGCCCATGGGCACCGTCCCTGCACCAGAAGCAGCAGCGATGCACCCACATAAGGCCATGGTCCCATCTGACCCCGTCCCTCGTTGTGCAGAAGCCTCGGCCCCATGTGTGGCCCCAGGCATCCCCAGGCCAGGACTGGGTGTAGAGCTTCCTCCCCCTGCGTTACCCGGCACAAAAGCTTCCTTTCTCCTCCCCAGGGCCTATTCATTACTGGGCTGACTCCTCGTCATGCTTGGTTAGACTGGCATTTTGCTTTGGTGTTGTAAGGGTTGTTACATGCTGATGGTGGAACAGCGAGAGGGTTCCCACAGACGGAGATCTGGAGATAGCAGAAGGGTTAAAATCTTGGCCCAAAAGTCTGGGGTGGCATGATGAAACTGTCAATGTTTTGGGTTTATTTAGTAAAAACTGAGATATGAGCTCTCTGAAGTGTTTCTGGTTAAATAATCCCATGAGACATCCCCACCCCAGCAAAGCTAAACCCTTTGGTGTGTCTTTTGCAAAATGAAATGTTGGTTTTTAATTTGAAAGATGTCTGTAAATGATGTTTGTAAGTTTATTATGTTTTCCAGCTTACAAAGCACAACAAACAAGTGAAAATGGGATATTTTGCTGTAGACTAAATGAAACGTTGTGCTAATGATGCTTTCAGTCTTTTGATTCTCTGGGAGCACTGGGCAATGTTTAGTTTTGGGTTGGTCCAAAACCCCCCAAATCTGCACATCCTATCCAGGCTGGCAGGTGGCAGCTCCCTGGGAGCCCCCTTGGGAAGGTGTTTGGAGGGGCACCCCCTCTGTGCCCAGCGGGGCCAGCAAGCCAGGGGCTGGCAGCCTGCTCTGCACCACAGCAGTATTTCACCCAGACCCTGGCAAACACCGCTGGCTGAATCTTTGTGCCAGTCTCAGTATCGTGGAGAGATTTTAGGGCTGATGCAAAGTTGCCAGTGCATGGGAAAGCAAGTGTATGACTGTAAGTCAGCTGGCAGAGCTGCTGCTGCCCTGGGACCTGCACCCTTGCTCAGCAGGGGTTTACATGTGTGGCTCTCCCAGGCGCTGGCATCCTGTGCAGGGGCTACGACCGGCTGCCTTTTCAATGCTGGGAATCGGTGTCTGGCAGTCGGGTCCAGGCAGTGCTGTAGAATGACAAATTACAGTTCCAGATAAGAGGTGGGAGCTTAGGGATCTGGCACGGGCGTTTTGAAAAGCAGTGGGAACCACAGGTTGGCTTTGGAGCTGTGCAAGAGCTGGATTTTGTTCTCAGCTCGGCTTCAGAACAGACTGTGAGCCTTTGTATTTGGGTTTCAGCTGACCCTGTCCCAGGTGGACAAGGTCAGGAGCACAGAGGTTGGATCTGCCCATGTAATTACACAGAGAACAGTTTCCCAGGGGATGCTCAGGCTGAGCTGAGTTACTCTGGTCTGCTCCCTCTGGAGCCCTGGCTCCATCCTTCTCACCTCCTCTCCCTGCTCCAAGTCCTCCCTTCCTCTCACCTTAGGTAGCTTAAAAGGCACTGATAGGTAGAAACGGTGCCTGCTGGGCTGGCCTCTTGTACAGGAGGGCTCTGCAGCACCCATGAGGGAACTCTTGCTGCTGTGTTTTGCCGATCCACCTGGGGAGAAGCCTTCTCCTTTGGGGCTCCTGTGGAGTGGGTTAGGTCCTGGGTCTTCCCATGACAAATCAAATCAGTCTCCTGCTCCAAGGAAGATCCTGCGGCAGAGGGGCTGCAGGAGGGTAGAGCATTGCTCGTCCCTGGGGCTTGGCTGCTTTTGGCCTCGTTGGCCACCTGACAATTGTTCAGTGTCAAAACACATGACCGAAACCATTCTTGTTTAATCCTAGATTAAAGCAAATATTGACCCCTGGTTTTAGGAGATGACCTGTCTGCTCACCACTCTGTGCTGTCTGGGATCCACAGGAAATCCAGGAGGCTGCAGTGGGGGAGCTCCTGCTGTGCTTCAACTCTTGGGGCTGGATTTGAGCTGTGAGCAGTGCTGTGTTGGTCCTTGTCACTGCATCGTCTCTGCTCGATAGTGCTGGCAATAACAAACTGTTGCTGAACATCAGCAAAGGGGGCTTTAAGGCTTTCCTGTTTCTGCAAAACCACCCTGGCCAGACCAGGCATGCAGCAGGGCAAGCAGGGAGGAGGTGTGTGTGGACTGATGTCCTGCAGCAGCAATGGTCCAAAGTGGGTTTGTGCCATGGCCCAGCCTTGGCTGACCCTGTGCTGGTGTGCTCCTGTCACCAAGGGCACCCGTTGTCCTTGGTGTTTGTCCAGGCTGTCTGCAGCATGGCACTCCATCACCTTCTGCAGGGGTGACATCCCCTTGCCCCCACAGAAGCTCAGAGGGGGAGGCAAAGGGCAAGTTGAATCTGGGCTGAGGGAAGGATTTGGGCATGCTGCATCCTTCCCTTAAACAGGGGTTAATTAATCCCACAGTGACTGTGGCATCTTGATGCTCCCACCTCCCCTCTGCCATGGGCTTGTGCTTTCTGTCACCAGAGTTTGCCATGTGTTGAGAAGACAGCACTCAGGTTTACCTGGAATGGTTTTGCATTTGAAACCATAAAATGTGTTTGGTAGCAAAGATGTTTCCTTCTGCCTCTTTCCCCTTGGCTCCCTGAGCGTGCCCAGGGATGGGGAAGCAGGATGGGTTTGGCCCTGTGGAAGCTGCAGAGCCACAGGGTCCCAGGGGCAGTGGGCAAGCCCTGCTACCTTCACCATCTCCTCTCCTTCCCTCTAGGTCAGCTGAAGCTGTCTGTCGAGGTGCAGGGCCGGATCCTGGTGCTGCATGGTGAGTATCTCCCTGGGGCGCATGGGGACATGACCCCAGAGCCGTGGTGGGCAAGTGATGGGGACAGCACTTCCATGCCCTTTCTTCCAGCTCTTTGGAGCTTTGTGGCAGCTGTTGGGAGCAGCTCTGTGGTAGAGCAGCGTGACTGGGGGGCTCCGTCTTTGATTTAGAGGCCAACCCAAAGTTTCTGGAGACCTTAATTTCTGGGTAACCATGGTGTGTTTTGTCTACATCTGTAATTGTTTTTCTTTAACTCCATGTGAAGAGAAAAAGTATGATTTAGAAAAGAAAATCTGAAATGCTTTGTCTCCTCTGCAACAACTGTTCACGTCTGAGGTGGGTGCAAGTCACTGCCTCATTCCAAAAGAGGGTCTAGGAAGAGGAAGATGTCCAAAAAAGAGGCAACAGTGGCTCAAGGCCTGGGACCTGACGTCCCGCTGCACGTGCTGGATGCTCAGGGTACTTGATGTGGGCAGGACGAGGCTGGGTAATATGGGGTGATCTATCTTTTTCTTTCTCTACCCCAATGTCTTTAAACACAAAGCAGGTCTGGCTGGAGGAGGAAGCTCTTGGTGCAGCCTATCCTGGAGGAACCTTGCAAACAGCTTCGTGAAGCACCCGAGGGTCTTGCAGAGCCCCTTTCCCCTTGTGCGCTGGGGTTTCTGTTGGGCTGACCGTGTTTATTAGGAGCACGTACCTGTCTCTGAGAAAGGCAAAGCTCTGCTGCCTTGCTGGGCTTGTTAGGAGCAAGCTTAGCCTTATTCTGACAGCCCATCCTGGGCTCTCCAGGCTGCTGCACATCGACCGCCTCCAGCCACATGGCTGGGAAACGCAGGGTTCCCAACTGTTGGCAGTGGGGCAATGCTGCGTCCCTGCTGGCACGGCTGCCATCAGGATGTGGCTGTTGATGTTTAACTTGATGATACATTTGGCTGCGGGGCAGGGAGCTGAGAGCTGTGTGAAGTCAGGCAAACAAAATGCAATTTGCCATCCGGATGCTGAACTGCATCTGCTGCCAACCTCACCCACAGATGCCTGTATTTATAGCATGGGTATGTTAAAGAAAAATACAATAAAACCCTTCACCTGTTTGTGGGTGCCCAGTGAGACCAGGCTGCTGGAGAGGTGTGTGCAGGATCCTGTCAGGGTAGGAGACGGGTTTGGCCGCACTAGAAGGGAGCAGCCCATGGAGCAGAGTGCCACAGTGTAGGAAGATGCCTTCCCTGCTGCTTTGGAGCTTGACCACTTCATTTCCTTTCCAGTCATGGAAGCAAAAGGTCTGATGGGCAAGGAGTGCCGGACATGCGACTCCTATGTGAAGGTGGGTTCTCCTTGGGCTTTGCTTGGTGCTTTCTTGGGGTTTTGGGATTGGCTCCTCTAAGCATGCTCCAGGCTGCCTGTTCCTTCCCTTTCCTCCTCTGTCCTGCTCTGGCTGAGCACTTGCAGCCTGCAGGGTGGTGACTGGTCTCTTGGTCAGTGCTGGAATGCTCATGGGTTTTGTGGGCACGGTGTCCTCATGGAGCCAGAAAAGCAGAGGACAGGACCCCTGCTAAGGACCATATCAGCCATTTGTAATGAAAGTGTCCCACTGGGTGCCCAAGTGCTGGTGGGGATGAGTGTGTGGCAGCACAGTGTAGCTCTGGGCTCTCCTGGAGGTCACCTTGGCAGGCTGCTCCCACCATGGTGTGCACAGTGCAGGAAGCATCTCCCCTACAAGGTGGCTGCAAGCCAGAGACCAGCCAGCAACATTTGTGTACATCAATCCTTGATTTTTTCTGCTATTTTCATTCCCTCCCATGCCTCGAGGAGTTTTGTAACGCAATTACTTGACGGGCGTAGGGTGAAGTGATCTGACCCACCGGTTAGCATGGGCTCAGCTGGGTCTGTGAGGCTCCAGCCATCCAGAAAGTGGCTGTGCTGGTCTCTTGTTACCGCAGCGGCAGAGCTGGCAGCTGTGTGCCAGTGCTTGCTTTGAGAGTGCTAACGCGCTGCTTGTTTTCCTCTGTGAAGATGTCGATCGTGCCAGATACTGACTGGAAATGCAGGCAAAAGACGAAAACTGTGCCAGACAGCAAAAATCCCGTCTTCCACGAGCGCTTTCTTTTGTGAGTATGACGGGGCAGAGGCAGCTCTGACCCAGCCGGTAGCTCAGTATTCACACTGAGCAGGGGACACACACGTGGCTGCTGTCCTGGGGCACCCTCTCAAAGCCAAGACCCCGTGTTTGCTTTTGCATTATGATCTGTAATAAACATGCGTCATGCATGAGCAGGTCTGCTGCTGAGATGAGGAGTGACAGACATTATTCTGCTGTTTTTTATAGCTGAAATGCCTTGAACTTTTGGGCAGAGCTCTGCAGAGGCTCACAAAGCTGTCAGCACGCAGCATGGCAGCGGCGCTCCGGCACTGTCGGACTTTCTTGCTGGGCAGGAGTTGGGCAAACACGCTCCATTTCCTAGACCTTATGCCTGCAATAGTATGGGCTTCAGTATGAATGAGGAAGGTAAAAGGATTTCCTATAGCTACAGCATGTCTCTGCATGGCAAAGGAGGTGTACGGCTCGTTGTGTTTCGGTGGAGCTTGGCATTGCTAGCAAACCAGTCTGTGTCAGACCTCTGACCCCATGCAGCATTTAATTTGGCACAGGATGGTTGTTTCAGAGCATGAACTGTGGCTTGTTCCTTGCATTTACCCTTTGATGTTGGATGTGTGTCTTTCTGCAAGATCATTTTTCCCCTTAAACCACCTGAGCGGTGTCCCCAGCGCCTGCCCAGGAGGGGTCACATCCCTTTGCCGTTGTCTGTCAGGAACGAGTGAATCAGTGCAGCAGTGGCTCGTTTGAGGAGGTTGCCATCTGTGGTGATGCTGCAGTGCTCCATGCAGAGAATGGAGGAGAAGACCTGGCTCTGTGGGGGGTGAGGGGTCTCTGGCTGCGAGGACAGCCCTTGCCAAGTGCTCCTGGGGAAGATCGGTGCTCATGGGCCATCCCTTCTGCTTGTTACAGCCCAGTGCAAGAGGAGGATGAGCAGAAACGTCTCCTGGTCACAGTCTGGAACCGAGAGAGAAATTCCAGGTAAGGAGTTACCCACATGATCTCTTTCAAATGGGGCTGGCATGGCAGTGAACCTGCCATCTGCTCTGGCCACCCCATGGGAGCTCCTCCAGTGCTCCAGGCCTCAAGGGCTGGCCCTGCTGGGAGGGCTGCCCTGAATGAAAGCTGCGGGTTGGTGAAGTGGGGGTGCTGAGCAGCAGGTCTGGGACTGGGTCACTTGTGGGCAGCCTGTGCTGGTGAGCACCATGCTGTGTGCAGGCTGGAGGAAAGGAAATCCTGCCCTCGCTGCGCTCTGATGGCAGTGCTGCTGCTTGGTAGCCATCAGCTGAACCAATGTTTAAAACTCCTGCAGCTGCTCACACCTCCGCTGCTGGTTAAAACCAAGTGGGGCTAGGGCCTGCCTCCTGGGGAGCTTCCCTGCCTCTGGGGCAATGCAGTGTGGAGGAAATCCAAGCACAAGGAGTCTGGCACCTCACAGGTTGTGCTGCCTACTTGGGCAAGTGCCATCTGCCTTCGTGGCCCAGCTAGGCTGGAGGTGACTGGAGAGCTT